AATGTAAGAGTCTGGGTGCATGGGCCTCTTCGGGCCCACGGGGCACAGCTGCGTTCACTCGAAGTTAGAGAACGCGCACCATTTTTCGGGTGAAACAACTACTCTAGAGTTGGGCCCCGCAACATGTGCGACTTAATACCGCAGGCCCGATCTTCAAATAGATAACGAAGCTTAACTCCCAGAAAACTTTACCAGCCTTTGAATTTGCAATACCATATCAACACAAATCGGACGGATGCTCGCAGAATCAAATCCCAAAGTCCCCCCCGCGATCCCAGGCAATATCGGGCGGCTTCGGGGGGTGACCGAAACCGAAACAGCTCGCGCGTATCTTAGCGTAAAACAGCAACTACAAATACAACGCTCCAGTTGTTTCCCTTGGTTTTTTTTTCCAACTTTGGAACGTTTGTTACGGGTTCAAGCGGCTTGGGGGCGCGCGGGTTTGCACTTGGATGTTGTCCAGGTGTGGACAGCTTCGTCCCCACCAGAACTGTGGGGTGCAACCACTTCAGCGCCATGCCTGCGAGCACGAGTGATGCGCCTGCACGCCTGCGAGCACCACGCCGTGTCTGCCCTCAGTGCTGCCGAAACTGCTATGCTCGGGCCGGGCGAAAGGGGGAGAGAGCATGGGGGGGCTTGAGAATCAGCTTACGTAGCTGACTTTCCCAGCGCCTCCCGGCGCCAGGAGGCGCCCATGCATCGAGGAATGGGCCCGGCGGCGGGGCCGAAACCAGCTGCATGCAGCAGATTTCGTACCCCCCTCCTTTTCCCTATCCCCCCCTTTCGTCCGGCCCGATATGCAATAAAACCGTGCCGATTCCAGTGGTTCGCGGCGCGCACAAGGGGGTGGAGGGAGGGGGAAGGGCTTCTTAGAAGGAGGCTGCTTCTTAGAAGGCACCTGCCTTACATCTGTAGTTGAGGCCCGCGCCTTCTAAGAAGCAGGGGTGCTTCTAAGAAGCCTTCCCCCCCCCCCTGTGCGCGTGGCTGAAATGGCTTTCGAAGGCCACGGTTGACTACCAGACCACCCCAACCCAACCCGAAGACCCAGCTCTTCAGGTGGGGGGGGGCACGGGCTCCACACGTGTTTTTCCAATGCTCCCCGACGCCCTCCCCACTTTGAACAGGGACCGACGGTCCCGGCATTCCTATAGTCATACCACGAACTGTTCTTAGAACCCCAAACATGTTCTCATAGCAAAAACAATGTTCTTAGAACATAAACCCGATGTGTTAAAACAAGACAGTCCCAGCCAAAAGGTTCTAAGAACATTTCGTGGGAACCACGAAAGGTTCTTAGAACATTGTTTGGTAGGGCTAAAGGCGAGCCAGGACGCTTCGCCACTGCTTGACCACTGGGAACGGAGGGCAACTCGGGGTCTTCGAGTTTGGTCAGGGTGGTTTGGTGGGTGGTGAACGGTACGCTCAGGTCGGGCACGTCCCCCTACAGGCCGATCTGCGACGAAAAACCAACACTTGGACTATTCTTTAATGTTCCTCCTGTAGAGGGGCAGGCCCGGCTTCACGGTACGCCTGCGAGCACCCGCGGCGTGACTGCGAGCACCCCTGGGCATCGCTCGGACGTCCATTCCCAGTGCTTTTTTTCGGTTTCGTGCGTGGTTTTTTCGCCAAATGATCAAGGATGCTTCTCGATGGTCCTCGCCGAAGGAGGAATGCACACGTCCGAGCGATGCCGAGACCCCAGTCGCCCGCGATCGCCACAGCGTGCCCGAGAACACCACGGAGCGGCTTCTTCGACCACCGCCCTGGCGAGGGAAGCCTGGCCCCGCCGGACCCACGCCGGCCGCAGTCGGCCGCGCGCATGTGTGCACAGCGACGGGCTGGCCTGGTGGTGCTACGACTGCTGCAAACGGACCGCCGAAGAGCTTCTGGTGAGAGGAGTGGGGAGGTGGACCCAGACCCCCTCGCGCTGTGGAAAAAAACACGGCGGTAAAGTCTTCCCTGCTTTCGGCTTCGGGGGGCCCTCGCCGGGCCTCGGGGCCGTCAACAAACAATTCCGGATCGGGGGAAGGGGTCCAGGCCTCTGGGGTCGACGTCATGAGCAAATCATGACGACGTCGGGAGTCTGGGGAGGGTGCACGGGGAGGGGGAGGAGGAGGAGGAGGAGGAGGAGGAGGAGGAGGAGGAGGAGGAGGAGGAGGAGGAGGAGGAGGAGGAGGAGGAGGAGGAGGAGGACGAGGAGAACTTGGGAGGGCGGGAGCGCTCCACGCTGAGCCGCTCCCCGCCCCTGCCGTTGCCCCCGACGCCCCCTCGGAGAGAAAAGGGCAAGCGCAGAGGCCGGGGCCTGGATCTCCCGGCGCACGCGGCTGACGTCGAAGGAGGGGCCACGCGGCGCCACCACGCGCGCCGCCTCTCGGGAGCACGGCGCACGGTGCTACTCTGAAGTCGTGCGTGTCCCCCTACAGGGGGATTTTCGACGAAAAATAAGAAGTACCCCAAACATACACCCAAAAGGTCAAACATACTCAAAAAATAGTCCCCAGACTATGTTTGGACTATTTTTTGATTATCTTTGGGGTATTGGTTATTTCTCCTCGAAAATCCCCCTGTAAGGGGACGGGCCCGACTGAATGCTGCGCCATGGATGCCCTCTTCCCGACCCGCGCACGGAGGCAAGCAGAGCACACGAACGACAGCACGCAAAGCAATCAAAAATATAGCCCCAAGGGGCCGTGGCGGGGGGTCGGCTCCCTTCCCCTCCCGCGGGGCGGGCGTCGAGAGGCCCCCCGCTGGAGCGGGGGCGCGCGCTGTGAGCAGGCGCGCCTGTGGCACGCCAGACTTCGAAGCCCCGAGACGGTGCGGTGACAAACCGTGCGGTGACCTCGAAATCCCCCACGACGTCCAGAGCGAGCCGAAGGACGGCAGAAGTCGTTCAGTTTTTGAACGACTGCGCAGCACGCGAACAGACTTCGCGCTCTCGCGCCGCCCCCCCCCAGGGGGGGGGAGAAGAGGAAGACGGGGAGGCACCCGAGCCGAGCCGCGAAGCGCGAACCGCCTCGCGCCCTCGAGGGCGCCCTCGAGGAGCCCAGGGCAAGCCCCCCCCCCCCGAGCCCCTGGCGACCCTCGGGACCTCTGCGGCGCCGAGGGACGCCGAGGGAGGAAGGGCCCAGAATCACATCGATAACTCGGATCGGCGATCGGAATGGATCGGCTCGGCGGCACTCGACGGCCTAGGCGGGAAACATCGGATCTGTGGCAATCGGCAGGACGGTGGGCTTCCGTGGAGACGTCGGAGCCCACATCGGAATCCGAAGCCGGATCGAATCGGCATCGGAGGCCATCGACATCGAATCGAATCGAGTCGAGCCCGAGGAATCGGAACGAGCCCTGTGGAGGGGAGGAATCGAGCCCGAGGAATCGGAAGGAGCCCCGTGGAGGGAGCGAGGGAGGGATTGGGGGAGGCCTCCTGACGCCCGAGGCCCGGCGCCGTGAGCAGAAACCACCGCGCCGTGCGAAACCACGGCCAGAGAGCCCTCGGCCCGAACCTACAGAGGGGGCTCGACCACTGGAACCCTTCCCACATGTTTGGACGCCCAAAATGGGTACGGAAAGAATGGGTACAATGCCCAACAGCAAATGTTGCCCCAAACCATCAGCGGCCGCTGTTGGGCGGGCGGCCTCCTGTCTCGAATGGACACAGGCCGCGGCGGCGTGGACAGCGAGTCCTGTTCAAAATGAACAGGAACTGCTGTTGGGCATTGTACCCATTCTTTCCGTACCCATTTCGGGCGTCCAGCACAAGAGACCCCACCCTGAGACCCCAGGAAGTGCCTTGATTCTGGGGGCGGGAGCGTCGCGCCTTCCAGAGCAGAGCCGTCGGCACTCAAGAAACCTGGGGCACCCTGCAGGCAGGCAAGGTGTCTCTTGGCACGGGTCTCCACTGTACTGACCCATGTCCATCCAAACCAGGGGTCAATCAAGCCGTGCAAGATCCTGCACGCCAGCCAGGTTCAATGCAGCCCCGGCTCTGCAGGATCCTGCAAGATCCAGCGCTCTGGCTGACCCCCGTGTGCATTGACCCCCGTCCCTTGAACCCCGACCAATGTCTGTGGTAACTCTGTGGTGGCCGAATTGAGCGCGAAAACGACCGTCATGCTTTTGTTCACGATGCCAAGGATTTGAGGGTTCTGGGCAGCATTGCGGCAACATCGGCTTCTGGGTTCTTTTCCTCTCTCCTCCCATCGGCTCCTGGGCTCGAGGTTCGGAACGATTTTTGACTATATCAGGGACCCTCGACAAGCCGCAGCTGCCGGAAAACTCTGAGGTCTGATAATCTCAAATAATATCAAAACATGTCGAAACTCCCTCCTCCTCCTCCTCCTCCTTCTTCTTCTTCTTCTTCACCTCTCCATTGCGGGGACAACAAACAAAGTGATACCGCTATTCTCCCGGGATGCGTTCTGACGAAGATTTCGCGACGAATCCAGCCGTGCTGACGAGGGATGGGTAGCGGTAGCGCATCTTTTTCTCATCTGATTTGTCCCTCTCCAACTCCTCCTCCTTATCCTACAGTCGGGCTGCTGAAACAAAGAATGAGCAATATCAGGACCGAAGCCACTGATTGGCGCTTGCAGAGCCTGGGTGCACGAGGAGGGCCAGATGAGGAGCTACCACAGAAGGGTCTACGGAACAGCGAGCCCCATTCCGAACTCGAGGTGTTCCTTCGTTCAGCGTCTTGACCGTATCCTCCCCGCAAAATAGCAAAATCAAGATCAACGGACCTCCCTCGGGGTCCTTCTGACCCGGGTCAATCCAACTCCAGGTCAGTCGGGCCTTGCAAAATCCTGCAAGGTCCTGCAAAATCCTGCACCCAAACCCGGGTCAATGCCAAGGATCCTGCAAGATCCTGCAGGATCCTGCACCCAAACCCGGGTCAATGCGACCCTGACCCTGCAAGATCCTGCAAGATCGTGCGCTCTGGCTGACCCCCGCTTGCATTGATCCCCGTCTCAGAGCTCCCGACGCCCCCTGCCACCCATCGGCTTCCGGGTGGTCCACGGCTGCTCGTCGGAGGTCTCTGGCGGCCCTCGGCGGTCCTCTGCGCAGGAGCTGGATGGCCGAGCCTGCACGGTGGCCACGATCGAACACCTGCCTCTGGCGTCACTCACTCTCGCGACATAAAACGGTCGCAGAAGAAAAAAATGGATCGAGGTAAATCGTGAATCCCCTCATTCAAGGATGGACGTACGTCATCAGCTGGCACCCCTCCCTGCATGCCAGTCTGAAGGGACCCAAGAGATCAGGTGGGCAGTGCAAGTGATGGGAGGACGACTGACGCGAGTTCCTTCATGTTACAGGCGTGCCTTGCAGCAAGCGACGCTACGTGGGTGCAAATGGAAAAGCAGCTCGCGCGAACGACGACGCCAACAGTGAAACCGCAAGTCTGCAGCACGTTGCAGAACGCACCTATAACAACCAGCGCTCGAGATCCCTTCCTCCTCCTGCTCCCCCTACAGGGTAGCTTGGCCTGGCTTATCCTTCAATTCTGCTATCACTAATTTCTCCGCCCAATGCTCGAGTCGGGGATCTTCTGACCCGGGTCAATCCAGACCCCGGTCAGCAGGAAACCAAAAACTGCAATGCAGGAAAAAAAACTGCAACGCAGGTCCTCGCAAATCCGGGTCAGCCAATATGCGCGGCCGCCCTCGCGGCCACGAGCGGCTCGCTGACCCGGGTCAGCCAGAGGGGGTCTTCGCAGGATCCTGCAGGATCCGGTGTCCTGGCTGACCCCCGTTTGCATTGACCCCCCTCTCGAGGCTCCCGATCGAGACCACGGCCTCACCCTCCGGGCCGGGGCCCGCGTGCCATTCCACACGTACATCCCAAAAAGGGGAGCTGGCCGGATGTGCTCCGGGCTGCGGCTCCAGGGCGGCAGCTCCAGCCAGCCCTGGCCTATAGAAGCCTCCACGAGTCTGGGGTAAGCTTAAGTCGGGCCTGTCCCCCTACAGGGGTATTTTCGACGGAAAATAAAAAATACCCCCAAAATGCCCCCAAAAGGTCAAACAGTGCTCAAAAAATAGTCCCCGAACTATTTTTGGACTATTTGATTATGTTCGGGGTATTTTTTTTTTCGCCGAAAATCCCCCTGTAGGGGGACAGGCCTGACGTAAGGGTAAGCAAGGGCAGCTGGAGCCTTGCAGGCCACTTCAATCAAACAGCTCTCCGGGAGTGCTGGCCGTGGACTTTGGTGTCAAAGTCTTGGAGACATCATTGAACCAAGGCAACTGAAGGCTTCCTGCAACTATCACCTGCTCCTGACCACCCTTCTCAAGTCCAGCATCTTCGAGGCGAAGACGCTGGAGGTTCTGATTGACTTGCGTCCTCCAGTAAACGATACGTTTTTTGCTGTCGTAGATGACTGCGTATTGGGTATGGTCCCCAAGTCCCTCGCCTTTGCCGGAGTCGGTCCCCCTCTGCGAGCCCATGGGCACAGTGACGGTGTTGAGTACATGCACCGTTTGCATAATCGCTTCCTGGTAGGAACTAGGCGTTGGCATGCCTGACTTTACCAAATGCAGCCGCTGGAAACGGGCCTCGGGATACCAGGAGCCTGGCATCTCCACTGCGGAGCGCACCAATGACTGCTTCCATTGCAAGTGACGCACAGCCTCATTGTGCCACAAGAAAGACGGCTCATTCGTGAGAATACCGAAGCCGGTCTTGCCTCCGTCGTTGAAATCATCATATGCTTCCATGCGGCCATCAAGGAATTCCAAAACTAATCCATGACCAAATGCATCGCGGAATATCCATTGCTGACCCTGGAAAAACGGATCTGACGCTTCGACGAAGTTAACGTCACCAAGAGCAGCTTTGAGATCAGCCACAGAACTGAAGCCCTCCAATGCCCACGTACAGATATAGTCTGCAGCAATGTTGTCCAGAGACTCGTTTCGGCCCGGGTATTGGGTTCCGAGCAAAGTGTGTGAATCGCAGGTGAGGCCCGCAGCATTCATGCCATCAGCGACACGCTTCTCTTCCAGGACAGACCCGAGCTTTCCAATGAAGCCGACGTAGCCAAACCTTGAAGACCGAATGCCGGGCACACCCTGCGGCCGAGTGATGATCACCCACTGGTACGGAACCGAGCCGAAATCCATTGTATCGGCAGAGAGCCTGTACTCATTGTCCATCGCAAAGTTTGAGCAGCTACGAGAGCGAGACGCACAGAGGCTGAACAAAAGAAACGCATGCCTGCTGTGCATCGCGATCCTGGACGAACAAACTGAAGGCACAACCGCCGTCCGACTTTAGCCTTGAACCAAAATGGCTAAGGCCCTCCTGGACCCTCTTGGACCGCCTGGGAACCAACTGGAGGCCTTCGCGGGGCCCTCGTCGGCCGCCTTGGGGAGAAGGCTGGGGCACATCTTGCGGTACTTGGACGCTCCCTAAAAGAAGAGCGGTAACACTCGAACACCTAGATCACATCAAATAATTCTGCCTATCCAAACCCTCTCGGGATCTCTCTTGGACCGCTCTTGGGTCATCTACTGGAGCCTGACCGTGCAAACTTCAGATCCTCTCGAGCCTTTTTCGAGGCACCATCTCGGGCCGTCTTCGGACCACCTTTGGCCACTTTGGGGGCCGTCTTGCCGCACTCGGAGCGGTCCTGGGGCCCCGAGTAGCGGGGCACACGGGTCGCCTGTCGTGGGGCTGGCCCGGGGTGGTGAGCCCCCAAAACTCTCGACCCGATCCCTGGGGCAGCAAGTACGTGAACCCTTCCTTATTCGGCGATTCGGCATTGGGCGGAAGAGGAGGGTAAAAGGGGTGGTCTGGCTCCGGACCTCTGCTCAACGTGACTGCGTGCAACCGTGCGTCCTGTGGGGGAGACTCCACCTGCCCGAAACAGGCGCCAAAAACAGCCAAGATCTACTCCATGGGGGGGGGGGACGGGGGGTGCGAGGGCCCGCGCCGATCGGCAAAACACGGAAGTAAACAAAAGATCACCACCATTCTGGGCAGCTCCGAGATGCCCAAGATTGCCCCCAGACGCCCCAAGAGGCTCCCATAAGCGCTCCCAAGAGGGCCCCAAGAAGTACCATTCATTGATTTTCCGTAGGTTTTGGACAGATTTGGGGGTTTCTCCATTTTCGGCTTCCCGACGCCTCAAGACGGCCCAAGAGGTCCCCAAGATCGCCCCAAGAGGGTCCAAGGGGGCCCCAAGAGAGCCCCAAAACGGTCCAAGAGGGCTCCAGGACCGCCCAAGACGACTCCAAGACGGCCCAAGAAGCCCCAAGAGTGGCCCCAGCGGGGGAACACGAAACAACATTTCGAGCCCTCGGCCATAAGCAGCCCCCCCAGAGGTCCCTAAGAGGCCCGAAGAGGCCCCCACCAGGCGGTCAGGAGGCCGCCAAGAGGCCCCCAAGAGCTCCAACAAGGCTCCAGGTTGAGAAGTCCCCGAAAGCCTCGGAGAACTCCCAAGAGCTTCCTGTGCACTGCCTCTCGGTGCGCGAAAATGGGCCAGCGGAATGAGCGAAGCGATTAAATTCGCCGGCCCAACGGGCCAGGGCGTGCTAAGATCTCCGGTACCTGGTTAACAGTATTTCTAGTTCGCGCGCGCGGGGCGGCCCCTGGGGGTCCCCGGACGAAAAGTACCCCGGCAAGGTCCCGGCAAGTCCCCGGCAAGTCCCCGGCAAGGTCGGGTCAGAGATGCCGGAGTTCTGTTTCGGAGTCCAAGAGGGCTCCAGATCGGTCCAAGAGGGCCCCGAGAAGCTTTCTAGACGGTCCAAGAGAGGCCCGAGACGGCCAAAGATCGCCCGAAGACGCCCCAGATGGCCCCAAGACAGCCCAAGAGGCCTCCAAGACGCTCCAAGGGCCTTCCAAGAGGCCTCCGAAGAGGGCCCCAAGTTGCCAAAATCGTTGATTTTCATTGTTTTTTTCTATGTTTTTTTGCGTTCTGGCCTTTTCGCTTCCGGACGCTCCAAGAGGGCCCAAGAGGCCTTCAAGACTGCTCCAAGACGGCCCACGAGGCTCCCAAGACGGCCCCGGAGCGGCCCAAGAGCGCCCCCCAGACGGCCCAAGTGCTGCCCAAGGCGGACCAAGAGGCCCCAAGACGGGCCCAGGAGGGGCTCAAGAAGGGAACCGAGAACTGAAAAATCGAGCCCTCCGCCCCAGAAGGCGCCCAGGACCCCGAAAGAGGCCCCAAGAGACTCTCCAAGACACCCCCGAGACGCCCCAATAAGCTCCCGTGAGGCCCCAAAAAGACCAACAACGTCAGGCCCCAGGCCCCAAGAGGACCAACAAATACCGCCAAGAGCCCGCCGAAAGCCCCCCAAGAGACCGTCACGAGAGCTCAGGAGGACCCCTGGAGGCCTCCCGAGTTCTCCAAGAGGCCTACAAAGAGGCGCCAAGAGGCCCCAAACGGCCCCACCGAGGCTCCAAGAGGCCACGAACGCGCAAGCAAACACCTGCGATGGCACAATACGGGCCGGCGGAATGAGCGAAGCGATTAATAACAATTGCCCTGGCGACGTACCCAACCCCTGCGCAGTGCAAGGCAGGAGTAGCTTGGGAGATTTGACGAGAGGGCGACGACGTAACATGGACGCATATACTTCTGCGAGCGGCATTCGGAAGGTTCGCAGGTCCCCAATCAAGGGAAAAACGAGGAGTAACTAAGTGAACCCCTGAGTCACTAAGGAAGACGCAAGGTCCAAAAGGAGACGATGGGCAAGGGACTTGAAACGTCGGCGGGCCAGTAACAACATGACATGGCTCCCTCGAACCAAACTTCCCACGCGACGACGCATGTTTTGCACTCGTGGGGCAAAACACGCTTCTCTCATCAATAAGGATGCATGTGTATCCCGCTGGTCGACGCGGCCAAAAAACACGCCGACTCGTGAATCGAATACCGCAAAATATATTCAACGTCCTACGTTTCGCTGGACACCGTCGCGCCTCATCCATGGACCCCCACATGGGACATGCAAAATAACTCGTGCGAGAAACTGCAACCGACGTTTCCGTACACATTGCAACTGTCGCATGGTATTACGATTCGCTTAGACATCGCACAACAAGGATTGAAATGTCGTTTGGACGGCAATCCGCCGAGCCAGTAACAACTTGAGTGTCCTCTGGCATACAGGAAATAAAGGATTCACCTCCCTGTGCTTCAAAAACTAAAGATCGCGACGCCCTTCACAACATACATGAACAATGAACGCTGCAGGGTTCCAAGAGCCGCGCGAGCAAACGGACCCCCCTCATCCCACTCCTACGCTAGACAGACCCGGCGCTGCCCACCTCTCCGACCTCGCAACTGTAAGACATATGCCGCAGCGGCCGCATTCGCCACGTCAGTGGAGGCAGGCGGAGGAGGAGGAGGAGGAGGAGGAGGAGGAGGAGGAGGAGGAGGGGTAGGAGGAGGAGGGGTAGGAGGAGGAGGAGGAGGAGGAGGAGGAGGAGGAGGAGGAGGAGGAGGAGGAAGACGAGGAGGAGGAAGGAGGAGGAGAGGGAGGAAGGGGAGGAGGAGCGAGGAATACGGAGGACAGGCGGAGGAGGAGGAAGAAACTGAGCCCACTAACAGCCCTCGAAAATGGCCTCAGTTTCGCAGATCGCAGCCCACCAAGGACGGCGAAGTCCCGCTCAAATCTGCGCGGTGCCTCACTCCGCTGGACCCACCAGCAGCCTTCGAAAGTGGCGAGCCCACCAGCAGCCCTCGAAAGTGGAGACAATGTCGCAGATCGCAGCCCCCCAAGGAGGGCGAGGTCTCGCTCAGGTCTGCGCGGTGTCTCGCTCCGCTGGACCCACCAGCAGCCCTCGAAAGTGGCGACAGCGTCGCAAATCGAAGCCCCCCAAGGACGGCGAGGTCTCGCTCAGATCTGCGCGGTGCCTCACGGACCCACCAGCAGCCTTCAAAAAAGGCGACATATTATCGCTCCCAGATCTGCGCGGTGCCTCACGGACCCACCAGCAGCCTTCAAAAAAGGCGACATATTCCCAAATCGTGGCCCTCCCAAGGACGGCGAAGTCTCGCTCAGATCCGCGCGGTGCCTCGCTCCTTTGGACCCACCAGCAGCCCTCGAAAGTGGCGACCATTTCGCAGATCGCAGCCCCCCAAGGACGGCGAGGTCTCGCTCAGATCTGCGCGGTGCCTCACGGACCCACCAGCAGCCTTCAAAAAAGGCGACAGATTCCCAAATCGCGGCCCCCCCAAGGAGGGCGAGGTTCCGCTCAGGTCTGCGCGGTGCCTCGCTCCTTTGGACCCACCAGCAGCCCACGAAAGTGGCGACAATTTCGCAGATCGCACCCCCCCAAGGACGGCGAGGTCTCGCTCAGATCTGCGCGGTGCCTCACGGACCCACCAGCAGCCTTCAAAAAAGGCGACAGATTCCCAAATCGCGGCCCTCCCAAGGACGGCGAAACCTCGCTCAGATCCGCGCGGTGCCTCGCTCCTTTGGACCCACCAGCAGCTCTCGAAAGTGGCGACCATTTCGCAGATCGCACCCCCCCAAGGACGGCGAGGTCTCGCTCAGATCTGCGCGGTGCCTCACGGACCCACCAGCAGCCTTCAAAAAAGGCGACAGATTCCCAAATCGCGGCCCCCCCAAGGAGGGCGAGGTTCCGCTCAGGTCTGCGCGGTGCCTCGCTCCTTTGGACCCACCAGCAGCCCACGAAAGTGGCGACAATTTGGCAGATCGCAGCCCCCCAAGGACGGCGAGGTCTCGCTCAGATCTGCGCGGTGCCTCACGGACCCACCAGCAGCCTTCAAAAAAGGCGACATATTCCCAAATCGCGGCCTCAGGTCTGCGCGGTGCCTCGCTCCTTTGGACCCACCAGCAGCCCACGAAAGTGGCGACAATTTCGCAGATCGCAGCCCCCCAAGGACGGCGAGGTCTCGCTCAGATCTGCGCGGTGCCTCAACGGACCCCCAGCAGCCTTCAAAAAAGGCGACAGATTCCCAAATCGCGGCCCTCCCAAGGACGGCGAAACCTCGCTCAATCCGCGCGGTGCCTCGCTCCTTTGGACCCACCAGCAGCTCTCGAAAGTGGCGACAATTTCGCAGATCGCACCCCCCCAAGGACGGCGAGGTCTCGCTCAGATCTGCGCGGTGCCTCACGGACCCACCAGCAGCCTTCAAAAAAGGCGACAGATTCCCAAATCGCGGCCCCCCCAGGAGGGCGAGGTTCGCTCAAGTCTGCGCGGTGCCTCGCTCCTTTGGACCCACCAGCAGCCCTCGAAAGTGGCGACAATTTCGCAGATCGCAGCCCCCCAAGGACGGCGAGGTCTCGCTCAGATCTGCGCGGTGCCTCACGGACCCACCAGCAGCCTTCAAAAAAGGCGACAGATTCCCAAATCGCGGCCCTCCCAAGGACGGCGAAGTCTCGCTCAG